GAAATATGCACACTCCGGAGAGCGCGCAGTGATCTCCGTGACATAAGTCGGGTTGAGATTGGACAGGCAACTAAACTAACATCGTGACAAAGCGTAGAGTATCCCGGAAAATGAAGGCGCTTCAAGCCGAGCTCATACTTTTGAAGACCATAACCCTTAAAAATTGCATTATGCCGATGCTTATTATTGCGATGTATTGAAACAACACGTGAACCGCTTGCAAATTGCCGGCGATTGCTAATTGCCTGCGACATATATACTCTTCCAATATTAGTGAAGGAAAAAAACTCAACGGCGAATAAGTAGGAAGCACTCGACATTGGTTCGCGTCTTTGAACATCATCGAGGGACGGATCAGAGCACAAAAGAAGCATGCCCTAATTGCCGAGCATGAGCCTAGTTTTTTGCTGGGACACTCGTGCCACATAAAAGCTAAAACAGCTAAGCTCTAATGACAGCCCCACGTGGACATAGGCGGTTTTGAAACTTGGACAGGCACAGCAGCGCCGCGGCGCACAGTGAGGCAAGCCTATCGTCCTATCGATGGCCAAAGTTAGAGTACCTATATTGAGAGAGTATGGCCACCGGTGTTACCACCTCTGATTGGCTCAGCCATCTTAGGCTGAATGGAGCCCTTAGGACCCAAAAATGGCGGACGCCATAAATTAATGTGATGCAAAATGACTCAAATTGTAGTTTTCTTTGCTTATCGTAACGAGAAATTTACCCAAATGCACTATTACGATTCTTTACATATTTTTAAGGCTAATCGTGTGCAATTTTTGAGAAAAATTATCTTAGATGTAGTAAGGTTGGCAGCAAGTGCGGTTAGTGAAAACCGTCGAAAGTTGGCAATGACCCCCCTCCTATCCACAAAAACCAAAACAAAGCACCGCCATTTTTGGGTCCTAAAAGTCTCTCCATGGGGCCCAGTGGCCATACTCTCTCAATATAGGTACTCTAGCCAAAGTGCGAAACCACGGGTCTCCATTTGCGACGTTGCAGGCTTTCTGTCATACTTCATTTGGACCGCGTTAAGCAGAAAGGAACCAAGCTACGTCAGCTATTGCCAAATTTTACTGAGCACTTTAATTTTTTACGAGAGAACATTGGTGCGGATTTTTTTTGGGGAATTTTTAAGGAAGTTGCTTCGTACTAAGCAGAAAATTGATGGAAATTGGCAAAAAAAAGAATCCACACTACTTTTTCAATGCAAAAAGTTAAATTTCCTGATTAAATCTGGCGATAGCTGGTGTGTTTGTTCCTTTTTGCTTGACGCGCGGTCCATTTTTTTCTCTAAAAAATTAGTCCACGTAATGCCTTAAAAACCTCCTCGATTTTTCTTCTCGGTAAGCAGAATATTCAATAAAGTAGGAGGGGCCATTTTGTGACATCGCAATGGAGATACGTGGTTTACGCTGCTATGCTGAAGAAAAACACCGTATGAGCCCTTCGTAAGTTGCCAAGCACGGGCGGAACTTGGAACTTTTCCTGGGGGGTGGAAAGATCGGGGGGCCGGGGGGTTTATAAGCTAAGGGGGGTAGACGAGACCCTACAAGGAAGGCTTGGTGGAGTTTTCCCACTCGCCAAAGGAGGATTTGAAGGATTTCCCTAGCGTCAGCAGGGTACGAGGGGCATCCCTGGAGAATTGAAAAGAATTGGACGAGTCGTGTAAGGAGCAATTTTGGGCTGTTTCCACTGAATAGTTGATGCAATTTCTATTAAGGTGAAAAAAATGTCACACACTCAAATAAATTCCATACATTTCTTGGGAGGAGCCGAGTAGATTTCTTGGAGGCCAGGCCCCCCGGCCCCGTATGTTGTCAAATTTCCTTAGAGGAGACACGAATTTTTAGCAAAACTTCTGAATATTAATCTCCCAATTTTTCAGAGAATGTAGGTCTCAATTCTAGCACCGAATATGTCAAAAATATCGACGGATTTCGAATTTTTAGGGAAAAATAGAACGATTAGTCCCTGCGCGTGAGCCTGTAGAGAATTATTTCAAAGCAAAAAATGGACAAAATTCAGAGAGGAGAAATAAAAGGAGAGTCCTTGAATTCGACACAGAAATCGATAGCTGTATCGAATGCGAGATTTTATTCAAAAAGGATCCTATGCTTTCATTTCTCAGAATTTCGTCAATTTCTTGGTATGGAATAATTTTGTGGGCTCATGTGTATAAGTTATCGTCCCTTTTTGGACTATAAACTCAAAATCTGCCGCGATTTTTTGTATGATCAATGCGAGTTCGACCACGCCAGGAACCGTGACGAATCGCTTAACGTATAACAGGAACTTTGCAACATCGCAAACAGAGACACGCGGTTTCGCATTTGGTTCCGAGCTCTCAAATTAACTGACTCCACTGTGCGATGCTTCCCTCCGCTGGCGAAAGTTCAAGTTTACTCCGTGTAAGTCAAGTGGGCACTCCATCGCTTTGTTCATCATACTCAAGATGCAATTTTTCCATTTCAGTGACCATGCTGCGCGATGCTGCCGTCCTCAGGAAAAATGACGTGTGGACCTTGCGACGCTGCCAAAATTCTTCTAATAAAATATGAATTTCCAGAGAATTTGAGAGTTTTTCGCTTGATATATATGTCGGCAATAATCTAGGGTATTCAAAAATTGCGAGGAAAATTATCCATAATTTTTCTCGAAGATATGTATTTCACCGGGAGAAATCTGGCAGCGCTCGGATGTTCAAATGCCGTTTTTCCTTGACACGCGCAGAATGAATTACGGTTATGGAAACTTATAAAAGCTGAAAGCCTTATTGCAACTGCGGCTGTACGCATCCTGTATGAATACATTACGTGACGCAGGGATTGATAATAATCTTCCAAATGGCGCAATCCACGATTGCTCATGAACACGATTGCTCGAGTCGCTCATACTTCACGACAAATAAAAGGAAAATAGAAAAAAAAAGTTATCACTTTTCTTGGAAGCTGATGACCCCGATCTAGAATTTCTTAGAGATCGAGCTCTGAGGATTATCAACCCCTGCCGGTAAAACGCCCTTAACAATTGGACTGCATTTTGCAATATTAGGAAGTACAATTTCTGGCTCATCAGTTTAGGAACAACGAATGTACCATTGGTTTCCCTATGCACATAAGAGTTTCCACGGATGAGACAGAAATTGCAGTTCCCAATTGAAAAATGTATTGCAATTTGTTATCTGCAGGGTTGATATGTAGGAAGTACAGACT